ACGATCCCTTGAACCTCACCGCTACACACCAGAGGCCCGAGTTCAAATCCCCATTCTAACATTTCTGCATTTTCTCCAATTCATGTATCCGTAGTATAAAGTTCCCGCGCCCAAGCGTAACTTACTAGATTGACCGCACAATGTTGCAGTTTCAACCTAGCTACTCTATTTTCAACTTTTTTTCCTTTTTGTACAGATTCAAATGCTTTTAAAACAAATCATATTTTTCAAACCCTAACTTCAAATTAAGCATTTTATATATGGAAATCCCTCAGAAAAATGCGGAAATTCCAAATATGCAATTATCTCGCATCTTAAATATTTCTAAAATTTTGTTTAGGATGCACGCTTAATTAATCGTTCCCTTTATATGGTGTATTTTGAAAATGCCTATTACATATGTTTTCTACCCATTTAAATTGACTAGATTGAATAGTTTCTCATAAAATCTATTATGGGCACCATAGGGAATGTATATGCTTAAGAGCATCTCCAGCCGTTGGCCCCCCAGGGGGCGCCTAAAATCATCGCCTGGGGGCGAGCCGGCGCAAAAAAATGACCTGGGGGCGAGTTACCCCCCAGTCGCTGTCCCCAGGGCCGCCCCCCAGGCGCGTCTAATTTATCAGAAAAAAACATTGGGCGCAGTTGGTAAAACACGGTTAAATTTCAGCAAACTTTGGCATATGTTACATGTTCGATGTGTTTGCATAACAAATATAACTAAAAAAGGAAATCGCTAAACGCGGAGTAGTCGCCGTCGTCGCCGCCGTCGTCATCGTTGTCGGCCTTCTCCTCCTTGACGCGGCCGTCCCGGCTGCACCCCTCCCCGGCGTCGCCATGGCGGACAGGTGCCGGCGGCGCGTCGTCGTCGTTGTCGTCGAGGTAGACGACTCCTCCTTGTTCGCGGCCCCGGCGGCGCTGCTCGAAGCGCCGCAGTGCGGCGACCTGGCGATCCTTCTCTATCCCGAGGAAGTCCTCGCGCGCCCATTTTAGGGCCGCATCAGTGTTGAGCGCCACCTCGCCAGGCTCCGTCTTCACGGAGGGGAGCCCGGGCTCCGTTTTCACCGTCACGAGCCTGGGCTCCGTCTTCGGCTTGAAGAACCGCAGAGGAGCCGACGAGGGGGCGCGCTGGCCGCCTTCGTTGATGATGATACCGGCGCTGCGAGTGCGCCGGCCGAGCAGCGTCTCCGCCGCGGGCTCGGTCTTGACGGCGAGCAGCGCCGGAGAGCCGGAGGAGTGTGAAGAAGATCACGGCGAGGAGGAGGAAGACGACGAAGAGACGAACCTCCTGGGCATCCATTGCCCGGCGCGTCGGCGGCGGGCCGGGGCCGGGGACGCCAGGGGAGGGTATGTCAATGGTGGCTCGTTCCCGCCCTCAAGGTGCGTCAGCATGCCGCCGAGCGTGCGGCCGGGGACGCCCCCCAAACGCGGCAGCCCTAACTGTTCTGTCTGCCGCCCACCACCGGCGCCCCGTTGGTGGACGCCAGTCTCTGCTCTTGACGGCGCTCGAAGTACGCCGCCCATGCCGAGTGGTTGTCGGCGGCGTATTGGGGGAGGGCGAGCTGCTCATCGGTGAGGGAGGCGCGCGCGAGCTCGACCTCGTCGATGAAGTAGGCGGTCCGCGCCCCAACGTCGGGGAACGGCGGAATGGGCACCCCCCGTTGCTGAGCCGCCACCCCGACGGCCCGGTGCGCATGTCCGGCGGCGCCAGGATGTTGGCCTCGAACAGGAGCCACGACTCATGTTCGCGAAGG